TTCTGGGCGTTGAAGTCCTCCAGGCTTAAAGTTGCCAAGGTTGGAGACCCCCTTTGCTGGCTGGGGAATTCTGGGCGTTGAAGTCCTCCAGGCTTAAAGTTGCCAAGGTTGGAGACCCCTGGACAAGATGTAGAAAACTAACCAATTGTGGGAGAATAAATCTGGACAAGGCCCATCATAGCTTAATGTGATGCGTGCACTCAATCTACAAACGTAGTTCAAGCCTATATAGTCTGTTAAGGTAATTTTCTGGTGGGGTTTATCTTGATACCCTCCACTGGTAGAACAAACAGGCCCCATTAACCATTTTCAATGCCGTGTCCTCTTTTTGTCTCATCTTAAATCACAGCGGAGGCATCTTATAATGGTCTTTAGGTGTTTCAGCTTTAAACTTGCATTTTCCCCTCTTCTCCCAAGACCCTTTTAGCTGTGAACCTAACCCTATATCCATGGTAGCCAACCTATTGATGGGCACATGTGCCATCACCCCAGCTCAGCTCCATCATGCATGCACCTGTGCTTCCCACCGACCAGATGGCCTTCGGGTCTCTGCCATGCATGCATTTTTGCATTGTTGCATTTTGGGTATGCACCCACACATGTGCACACACTTTGGGCACTCAGTTCAAAAAAGGTTTGCCATCACTGCCCTGTACATTAGAGTTGACGAGGTAGTCAATGTGGGGTTCCCTATTGGCCATACCACACTGCTGTACTCTTCCCCTCCAAGCATTGCCCTTCGTGACTGGGCTGCAGGACCAGACAGGTTACCTGGTTCTGCAGAAGCCTCTGTGTACCTAAATGCAGGGGTCCCCAAACTTGGCAACTTTAAGACTTGTGGACTTCAACTCCCAGAATTCCAAGTCCACAAGTCTTAAAGTTGCCAAGTTTGGAGACCTCTAGCCTAATGCTTTACCCCAGCACCTTTCAGACCTCATAGGAGGTCCTTGCCTACATAGGTTTTAAGATCTTTTGAAAGTGCTTCGCCTGTGTTTAAAACCAAACAAAAAACACCAGCATTTTCTTCCACTAGGAAAAAAAAAATCCTAGCTTCTACCAGCCGCATGTTGTTGGTTTTGCTGCCAGAATGTATTTTCTATTTATTCTGCTGACAAGGGGCTTTTTAGGATTTTTATTTGGGGGGGGGGGTATTTTACTCACTTCACATGCTACTTCCAATTACAGCCAGCCACAGCTGCCGGGGAGAATCCTTAACTTGTCCTGTCTTAAAGCAATTAGGGTAATAATACTACTTTCTGGTTTTCTTACTGAAGCAGAAACAAAGCACTGCAAAATATTCTGCTTTGCTGTCTAGATAGGTGAAAGAACTGTGAATAGGCTTCCTTTTCAGTGGAAGGTAAAATAAATAAAAACCTTTGATTTCCAAGGATTTGCATATCAACCTTTCAGTATGGTTTAATATAAGTCAGGGGTCCCCAAACTTTTGGGAGTTGAAGTCCACAAGTCTTAAAGTTGCCAAGTTTGGAGACCTCTGATATAAGTGAATCCAGATATAGAGACTATGCAAGATGGATGATGCCTAACAAGGCTGTTCATGTTGCAGAGATAATATGTCCTCCCTTGATAGGGCTTGGAGCCAGAGCCTTTCCTTTTTCAAAACCCTTTACATATCCAGAAACACCACAGGTGCTTCCTTAGTGCTTTCTCTGCTTGATGTGATGCTTTGCAGGTAGTTTACAGGTAGTTTCATGAAGCTGCTTCACAGGAGTATTTTGCACCAAACCTCATAGAAAGCACATCTTCAAAGAATTATGCAGCCTTCCTTGAAATCTCATTGATACTTTTTGTGTGGGATTAACACTTAGAAAAGTGTGAAGGAAGGTTTTATGCAGTGCAATTCCTGATGTACCTACTGAAAAGTCAGTATATAATTCACATTCATTAAGCCAGAATGTTTATGATTTGTTGGACAAGCCACAATGCACATAAGTACCTTAAGTACTTCAGGATGCATATTAGCACTGTCCAGTAGCACTCCTATAACCTCATTTAAATTTGTGTGTGAACCCAGCCTCTTGATAGTTTGCGCATGAATTTGCAAGGAGAGTCTGTCACCTTTGTTCATGCAAACATTAGTTTTATTGATGGGTGGAAGTTGGAGAAAGTTCATATGATGTCACAAATATGAAAGGCTAAGTGTTCTGGGAACTGGAGCTGAAAAAAATAGCAAAGGAGAGAGTTGAGACAGAATATAGTAAATACTATCTTTTAAAAAGAGACGATAGATTAAGTTATTTTTTTCCAGAATCTAGCTATCTCATATTGTTCATAGATATGACATCAATTATTAAAAAAACTAATTGTTATTAATTTGACCATATTATTTCTTTTAGATTTTAGATTTTTAGATAAACCTGTCTCTTTGTAACACTTTATACATGTGTGTTCAGACAACTAGTATCTACATGCTATTTTTTTTTGCCCAAAATAATGGAGAGAGAGGGATGCCTATTCAAGAACAGGCATGCTTGAAAAAGCAATTATCTAGATCTATTTTAGATTAGCTTTTGGCCTGGAAATTATACTGAAGTAGTTTTAGTTGCCCTGAATGTGACTGATGACCTTTCCAGTAGTGGCATGAACCCAGTGGAATGCTACTGTGTTGGTTCTTCTGGGTGTTTCAGCTGCCTTTAATCGTGAGCTATTGATCATGAAATACTGCTGAAGAAACTTAGTTAGACTGGGAATAGGAGGCATATATGACAGTTTCTTTTTGTATTCTCAGCACATTATCAGAGTCACAAAAGCAGATTCCTGTTCATCTCCATGCCACTTAAGTTATGCAGTCTCATCAAACTTTTAGACTCAGAAAGAAAAATATATCTTGTTCCGGGCACTCTAGCTTTCTCTCTAGAAAGAACCAGGGTCAAACTTCCTGGTTCCTTCTGATTCTAAGTAGCTTCATTAGCTAAATAAGCTGACCTTCAACTTTGGTGGTGTGCTAGCTTTGGTGATCCATGATTTAAAAACATCTCAGTTGGATTACAGTAGTCACTGTAATGGAGCTACCCTTGCAGAGTGCCTGGGAATTTCAACTGATACAGAATGCCACTATGAATTCTTAATTGGGCCAGGCAAATCAGACCAAATAGCACAGTCATGAAAACACTGAGTTGTAATCTCTTACTTACCAATCCCAAATTAGGGCATCAACATTAATCTGTAAAGTCCTTAAATGGCTGTAAAAGATGACTGCCCAACACCAAATTATATATTAATGTCAACTGCAAAGACGCTGTTTTTGTAAAGAGCCAATATGGTACAGTTGTATTGGTTCAGGTGATGGGTCTAGGATTCAGTCAATCCTCAGCCATCCCAGTGGATGACTTGGGTTGCTCACTTTCATGTTAAATCTATCTCACAGAACCATTGTTGTAGAGAAAAAGGAAAGGAAGAAGCACTTCATAGGTCGCCTTGAGCTTGTGAATGAAAGGCAGGATATACTTTAATAAATATATAAATATGTGGTCCACCAATGAGCTCAACTCACAATGCAGGATTTGGATCTTCTCAAGGGCAGCACTACAGTTATGGAACTCCATCCCAAAGAAATTACAATGGCTTTCTCTTGTTTTAAAAGACAAAGGTAAGACAGTTGTATTTTAAATTGAAGCGAGTTAGCATTACAAGTTATCCTGGACTAGATAGCAATTTTGGACAGCTTTTTAAATCAGACTCTTTAAAATAGCTATATTTTAATACCTTTTATGGTTGGTGAATTTCTTGTTTTTATTGTTCTTGTGGACATCACTTCCTTTTTGAAGGAGGAAGATTAATATAAAATAATCCCATCTAGAGAAGGAAAATAATAAATGGACAGTTTATTTGCATCTATTTATAAAGGTATAAATTAATTCCCTTGTGCAAAAACCATTTGCCTAGAAACAAAATCCATTGGACCCAATATGACAATTTGCCATGGCCAACTTGCCATGGCCAACTCACCACAGCCAATTTGTGGTGGCCAACTTGGTGTGGGACAAGAGTTACACTAATATCAAAGAA